ATGCTAAGTAATTATTTAATACATTTCCATTACATGTAAATGTAAGTTCCTCAGTAAACTGTAATGTCAAGTATGTGATTCAATGGGTTAAGTCTCCAACTTAACCCATTGCCGCCGGGGCTGGCATGTACGTACATGCCATGGCCACTGCGAGTCGACTTGTTCGATTGTTTTTACACATAGATGGCTACACTTGTACTAAGTATCCAATGAGCCAATTACGAGTTCTGCCTGTCTCGACCATTCACCCTTTTCATCGATTTACGAAAATATTTAACGTTATCCTAATTTGCTGTTAAAAATAACACCATCTATATTTATAGCACTAGTAGGAATACGTTTTTTCCCGCCAATTCAAGGAAAGGTGAAATCAGGACTAGAAGAGCCATCTATGGACAGATATATTTCACAAAAATATAAAAAATGAGTACTGCATTCTCCCCATTTTTTGTTAATTTTCCCCGGCGGCAATGGGTTAAGAACAAAATGGGGACTGAGAGGCTGTTTGTAAGTTGATTTGTTTGTAAATCGAAAGTCGGGTCTCCATTGCCTTTTTTACCATTGTTTTAAAGTTTTGTTTACATTAAGAATACCTGTAAATAAATCCCAATATGTACGACATATCTTATACAGTACCAGACTCTTGAACTATGTTCATGCCCGGGAAATTTGAAGTTTGCTAGCATCTTTCAAACAATTTTTTGGACTTTAGTACTTAAAAAATTTTGTTTGTATGTATGGAATGTTCATAAGTAGAATGTTCTTAAGTAGGGGACTATCTGTATTTCAAAGATGAAAAGTAAATATTTATATTACAACTATAACCCAACAAAAGTCAAGTTTTATTTAGATGATGTTTCATTATATTTACTGTATTATTATAATGTTAGAGGTTACTAAACCAATAAACACGTTTTTTTTATAAAGGGATAATTTTCAATACAAGAAGTTTGCCACTAATAATCTAAAAACACCTTAACTGTCAAAACTAAAGTCTCCAAAAGGTTCAAAACCCTGAATATCCATAGTATCCTCCTCATCCTTTTCTCCCTTCTCAAGTGATGACTCATCATTATCATCTTTAGCAGCATCAGTTACATCAGATGTTTCATCTGATTTTGGGGAATCTTGCTTTCCTTCTGTAATTAGGCCCTGAGATGTTTCTTCTGTTGCAAGACCATCAATATTCACAAGGCTGGCTCCTGGCTCATCTACTAATACCATTTGAAATTCATCTACTTGAGAAACTGTGTCATTCACTGTTTCTGTGGACTTTTCTGGAAGTGATGTATCCAAGCTGTCCAAAGAATCTTTGTCAGGGAAGCTTGCAATTGTTATTCCCAGTGGATCTATGTCTGATGTCTCTTCGATGTTATCTTTATCTGGTTCTTCTTCATTTACAACAATTCGTGCTTCCTTTTCTTCTGCTATGACTTCAAGATCTGTCCTGGATGTTTCAGGCTTTGCATCCATGTTTTGAACAGATGATTCAAGAACAGCTGCAAGGTCTCCTGCTGCCTCCAGAATTCTTTCTCGGGCTTGGAGTGTTTCCTCATTTGCCTGTGTGATAGATTGTTTTAGGTATAACCAGATATTTTTGTGACAAGATATTTGTATATTGTGTAAGAAACTGCCTCATATGTAAAAAATTATCCAACATGATATATATTTCTAATTTTTTTAATGGTAAAACTCTACCTGTCGTTCCTCAGGAGACATTTGTTCATATGCATTATAAACTGGATTTTCTCTTTCTCCATCTAGTTGTTCACCAAGAGCACTTTCATTAATCACTGATGTAGCATTAGCTTCTGCTAGCGACTGGAAGGAAGTATGTTACCAGTATTAATACATACCCAATTTGTTTATATTCACTTCCATTACCACTTTCCAAATTTATTTTCCTATTTACATCCTTGAATTACAAGAATTATCTTGACTTGTACACTTTGATGCATTTTATACAGACCTAAATGGAAATGCAAACTGAGAAATCAGACACATAAAAACAGAAGACATAGAAACTTACTGCCATAGACTGATTGAAAATAGGGTTCTGGAATCGTAGACCTCCATCTCTCGTATATGTAAAAATACTGGAGGAGGTTGAAGCGCGTCTGTCACCCATATGACTCGCAACTGACACTCTCCGGCTGCTACTCTCCAGGCGACGGAACATAAATGATAGCTGCGACGTTGCCCTGTAGTGTATATTTGGTTTAGATATCATATCTTTAAATTGGCTGATGCATTTAAAACCTGAAGATAGCATGAGTGAAAATAGACAGTACAGTTGTGCATTTTTTTAAACAGATCCACAGTCATGAATAAGTCAATAGAAAATAAGAAAATGATTAGCACTTTTTTTTTAAGTTATAACAAATCATGCATTTTTTGTTGTGTCTACTTATAACAGCCATTTGCTCTGATTTCAGCAAAACTTATTACCATACTTGTTTTTGTCCCTTCTACTCCTTGCATAATTTCTTTTTTGAAGTAG